CTCTCTTCTGCTCTCAACTCCTCTTCTCTCGCTCTCTCGCTCTCCTCTCTCATCCTTGCTTCTCTCTCGTCATCTCGTCTATCTCTCTACTTCTCCTTTTCTCTATCTTTTCCTCTTTCTCTCTCCCCGATCTCTCTCCTCGCTTCACTCTGCTCCTCTCCTTCTTTCTCTTTTCTCTTCTCCAGCGTCTCTCACTCCTCGCTCTCTCTCTCTCTCACTTTCTCACTCTGCTTTCTCTTCCTTGCTCCTCGGCGGTGTCCTCTTTATCAGCTCTTTCTCACGAGTGTGTGTGTGGTGCGTGCGTGCGGCGTGCGTGTGTGTGGTCTCTCCGCCCTCCTCGCTCCGCTCTTTTCTCTCTCTCTGCTTCCTCGTTTCTCTCATCATACGCATGCTCTCCTTACGCTCCCGCTCTTGCCTACTTTTCTCTCTCTCGCTCTCCCCTATCTCGTGGGTTTTAACACACCATGATCGGTGCGTGTTTCAGGGCTGGGGCAGCGCCAGCGGAGGCCCGCGTGTAACTTGCCGCGCTGCGAGGCTCGGATTGGACGATGCGTTCGACACGTGGGCGTCGTATTCTCGCGTTCGCGTTTCTCGGCTTGTGGCCTGCGCTTCGAAGTGGAGTAGAGTTCAATCGGTCGTGTCGAGACGCAGCGAGGGCAAACGGCCCTGATGCGTGGGCTGGAAGAGTACGTACACGCACGCCAACGCACGGCACGCCACGCACGCTGAGGGGGTGCACACGTCACATCACGCACGCACGCTGGAGTAGGTACGGCCCATGCACGCTGGAGGAGGTTTAAGCACACGCTACGCACGCTTGGAGGAGCACGCAACGCAACAGCACGCTGGAGGCGGTTACGCACGCAGCACGCAACTGCGACGCTGGATAGAGGTACGTAGCACACACGCACGCACAGCTGAGGGGGGCAACAGCACGAAAAGCACACTGGAGGGGTACGCCCAATGGCACCGGCACAAGCAGCCGCTTGAGGGTTACGCACGCACGAGATTAATTTGGCGGAAAGAAAAGAGGAAGACCCACGCTGGGAGAGGACACGCAAACAGAGCAGACGCACTTAGACTATGTAATACAGGAAAGAAATAAAAGAGAAGGTCGAAGGTGGGTGAGTGGACGCTGCAGCCTAGAGTAGGAGAAGACCAAAGGAAGAAAAGGGTAGGCAACGAGGATAAAAGTTGATGTATTAGACACCTCTAGCGAGTGGGGACGCCGCGCTGATTGTTTAGCCCCCACCGCTTCCCACACGCGCCCCGTCCGTCACTAGTCCCGGGACCACCACCCCACGCCCACGCGCCGGGCTGTATCCGTCCGGTTTCGCGTAGCCCGCCGCAGGACACGGAAGAGCCTGGAGGAGGCACGCACACAAGCACACTGGAGGGGGTACGCACGCACGCGACAGCTGGAGAGGCAGCACGCACACACGCTGGAGGGGGAGCACGCACGCACGCTGGAGGGGGTACGCACGCACGACACGCATGGAGGGGGTAGCGACAACTGCACGCACGCATGGAGGGGTACGACACAACGCATCGCACGCTGGAGGGGGTACGCCAACAGCAGCACCGCACGCACGCTGGAAGAGGTACGTACACACACGCACTGCTGGAAGAGGTACGTACACACGCACGACACGCTGGAAAGGGGCACGCACCGGCACGCACACGTGGAGGGGGTAACGCACGCACGCAACGCACGCCCACGCTTGAGGGGGTACGCACGCAGCGCGAACGCTTGAGGGGGTACGCACGCAGCGCACAGCTGGAGGAGGTACACTGTAACATAGGCAGCCACGCAACGCACGCTTGGAGGGGGCACGACGCACGCGAGCGCACGCACTGTACGCTGGAGGAGGTACACAGGGTGCGTAGCTATGCAGCACGGCACGCACGCACGCAAATGCCACGCACGCACAGCTGGAGGAGGCACGCACGCACGCGAAACGCTGAGGGGGGTACGTCACGCACGCGACGCACAGCTGGAGGAGGCGCGCACGCACGCGACGCTGGAGGAGGCACGCACAGCACGCACGCGGAACGCGCTGGAGGAGGCACGCCACGCACGTGCACGCACCACTGGAGGGGGCACGCACGCACGCTGGAGTGAGGCACGCACGCGGAGGAGGCCTACGTCAAGCACACCACGCACGCTGGAGGGGTACGCACGCACTAACGACGCACGCATCGCTTGGAGTAGGTACGTTCCACGCCAGCTGGAGGAGGTACCAAACCGCACGCGGAGGAGGCACACACACCGCATGCACGCTGGGGGTACGCAAGGCACAACGCGACGGCTAGGAGGAGGTAAAGCACAGCAACTGCAGACAAGAGACTGGAAAAAGGTGTGCGTACCTAGCAATAGCTGCATGCTGTCCCGACCGAGGGCTTTGCAGCGCTTGAGAGGCACGTCACGCACGGCACGCACAGCACTGGCATGAAGGTACACACGCACACGGCACTCACGCATGCCGGAGGGGGTACGCACGCACGCACCCACGCACGCTGGAGGCGGTACACACGCACGCACGCGAGGAATGGATAAGTTGTCTTTCTCTCTCCCTCTCTCTCTTTCTCTCTCGTTCTCTCTCTCTCTCTCTTTCTCTTTCACTCTGCTCGAACACTCCCCCCTCTCTCGTCCTATCGCTCCGTGGTCCGGCTCTTTTCTCGCGTCTTGTCTCCCTCTGGCGCTAATCTGCCCCCCTCTCTCTCTATTTCGTGTCTCTTGCTAACAGCCCCTCTCTCACTCTCTCTTCCCCTCTCTTTCTCTGAAATAAACAAAAACAAATCGCACTGTCAGTAAAAACCAACGGATCCACCGCGATTTTAGAATCTATCTATCTATCTATCTATCTATGTGAGTGAGATGTCTACTGCTCCGTGAGATGTCCCTCCGGATATCCTCATGAGTTTATCAATATTGATAGACTCCTGATATTTGCTAAGTCAGTGAAGCTGCACCATTTTTGTACGCACTGTTGACGTGTATACAAATGAAAAGTTTTGCTACATCGGGTGATCGTGCGTTCTTGTGTCGCCAATGTTTGCAGAAGAGTGCTGGTAGCTCAGAGTTCAGCAGCAGCTACCTGGACATGAGACAGACCGTCATGAGGTGTGACAAATCCAGAGACATGGGCGGACTCCGCAGGTGTATATACATACGGTCGTGATGCAGCCCAGACAGACAGACGCAGATAATATAATCTTGACATTGTTCTAGAGGGCCAGCTATTTAAACCATAATAATGGCGCCGTCTAAAACTTTCTGCTGCTGTGCTGCTTGCTGCTGTGGCAGCAGTACGCGAAAAACTGCTGCTGCTGCTTGCTGCTGCTGCTGCTAAGTGCTTCTGCTGCTGCTGCTGATGATGATGATGGTGGATAATAATAATAATAGATTATAAGTCATGAGGAATAGTTTAATGGCATCTGTATCTAAAATTTTAACAAACAACTTTTTACTAAAATTTAGGGTTCTGATGTATATGCTCTGACTACACAAAGCACACACACACCATACACACAACACAACAACACAGCATTAATATATATGTATATGTCTATTGAATACTGAAGCTGAGCCAGTTAAAGAATTTCCACGTTATCATAACGGGTTCGGGCGTTGTCAGAGCAAGCATTCACCCATGCGCGTTCTGATATAGCGTATATATTTATTTGTTGGTTTACTGACCGTGCATTGGCGACAATGAGAACATGAGCTAACAAGCTACCCATCGCTAGTGAAATTACGATATACCATATGTTTTTTTACGATGGTACAATTTTTGAGAATGGCGTAAATATGTAAAGACAGTGCAGGGCGGTGCGGGACAGACAGCTGCCCCACTAGATTTTGGAACAAAATTAAAAAATAAGCTTAGTTAATAATCGTAAATAAACCTAGCGTGAGTTTTTGGTCACTTATCCATGAAAGCCTTGTCTCAGACCCACCCCTACCATAATATGGACGTCGATCAAGAACAGCGCTCATCGCTCATCATTACACATAACAGTTCAGTCATGCAATTTTGCCCCCCCTTCCTCCTAGGAATTTGCTCAGCCTACGGTCCTGCAGTGTGCGGATTGTAAAGTAGGGCGGTGTGCACAGAAACCAGCGTTCGACACACTACTGTAACCTGGGCGGATATTGCAGGGGAAAATTATATTAACTGAATAAATAGGTAAATCATGAAAGCAGGGCTTATTCGACTGTGTAGGGAATATATATGTCTATACGAAATTTGAAATTTAGTCAATGCTTGATTATTTTGACATTTTTTGGTTGCTATTGTAATCTTATTTATTAATAATATTACTGTATTATTATGGATGATAATGGTTAAACACGAGTGTCGCATTCAAACCTAATGTTTTATTTTATTTGTAATATTTGTTCAATAAACGGCACTCCATTGACTATTCCTTAAAAGTTGGGCTTGGGGCATCATGTTATACTTTCTTATATTATATAGATTTTGTTTATATTCGATTTGAGGCTGTATATCAAATAAGAAAATTTCGACAGAAGTTAAAATAATTCATAGGAACTGAAAAATAACAATCATGTTCAACTGAAGTCTCTTGGTAAGCATGAGATGATATTGCTAACTTATACCTACTGTAGGGGAAGGCAGAAAGTGGAGAAGTGATCAGTGGTAAAGGAAGAAAAGAAGAGAAGGTAGATGAGGAGTGAAACATCGCAGAGGTATAAGAGTCAATCTTAAAAGAATCTACAAACCTAGAGCCTTGGCCCCTGCAGACATGAAAATGCGATGATCACCAGTCACCCCGGCGTCTGCTGTCATCTATAGGCCCTATATTGTTCTCAGGTTGTAAGCAGAAAGCTCAACTGAAAGCGTGGCGAAGAGGCGTGGCTGGGGTGTGTGCGATCCACCGCTGAACTGCATGGCTTTGCCCGTGTGCGCAAGGCTTGAGTTTGTCATCTCGATTTTGTAAAAAAAATGCTTACTTGGTTCTGGTGCCACGCTGCCGCCCCCCCCACCGCGCTCCCTTTTCCTCATTGCCCCTGGATCTTTCCACCGCCCCCAGGGGGCGTACGCCCACTTGGAACCACTGCGAGGAGTCTAGCTGTAGCTCTAGCTCTGGTATAAAAAATACTACGATAAACAATAAATAAGATATTGAATCGATTTCTGGACTCATATCGGTTATGTAATTCATACTGTTACACAGAGCCGGACTTGGCGGGAGACGGAGACACTGCACAGGCAAAGAATGAGGAGGAAATTACAGTGGTACGTTGACATAAGAATTAATAGGACTACTACAGTAGCCTTAATAGGAGTAAATAAAGCACGCGACCTGTCGCTGGGTTTTGCAATTTCATAACAATGTTGCGTATGCCAGGAGCTCTTACCATAGATCATATAATCTTTCGACTGTTTTTGTCACAATATTGTTTACCCCTTCATATTTTTTTCTGTTATGACTCTGTCC